CGATAATGACTTCGGACAATGGAACTGATGGCTTGTGTTCAAAATTGAACGCCTATCACTTAGAACTTTCTCGCTTCTTTGCAAGAAGCCTAAAACTCTTCCCTGGCAAATCTACGGCCACCCTGTTTAGAAACTGGACGAAGATGTACAGACTGGACCTCAACATTTCTATGGCTGACGTCGAAATTCCGATCCTAAAATTTTGTGAGCTACATTTGAAAGTCTAAGAAACGTTGTTGACAACATACAAGGCAATCGGTCGGCCGCAGACGAAGAAGTTTCATCCATTTCAGAACAGTACACTCCGGACTATCACGGGCAAATTCCAACAACAGCCGGTTCTGCGATACCGGAATTGACCCGGATTTTATCCGGCCAAGGGCTGTTATTTCGACGATCTAACCCTGTTTGGATCGGTAAGTTCTAGATTTAGTTTATCGTCATTGGAGCGACGCCTAGCAGCAGGGTTGCTCCGTATCCTCCTGACCCGTGCTGGCATCGAGTCCAACCCGGGCCCCGAGGAATTCTACTGCTGCGTTTGCGCTAAAAGGCTCCATCCAAACTCCACCTCGGTTAGGTGCAATACATGCAATGTTACGTGGCCACATGCTGTCAACGCAATAATGCGACATCTGCCTCAACGGCGGTGCAACCTGCACCATGTTCGCGCAGTGCGCTGCCGCTCCAGTCGAGTGGCCAAGATAGGACCTCCATGACCCTACGGAGCTCACACAAACAGCATGACTTTCAGTCCCAACCTTCATCCAGCTCCAATGCGAGAACCACCCAGCAACTCCTGCTTCCTCCCACAGTCTGTTCCGTGTGTCAGACCGTAATACGCCGGAATGTCACATCAGTCAAGTGCAATTCTTGTACTGGCTGGTGTCACTTTCAGTCGTGTTCCGGTCTGCGCACCACACGAGAGTGGATATGTTGCCCCATGCTATAGGAGTTTGCCCCCGCAATCACATACAGCGGCGTAGCCAATCAACACCACAGTGCGACAACCGCCCATGCAGATAACACAGCTGCAACAACCACCACCAACACGCACCCCACTCACCCCCAGGATCACGACTGGACACCCGCGACAAACGCGACTCCTACAATTCAACTGCAACGGACTCCAGAGTAAGATCGAGGAGATAGTTGCATTCATGAGCCGGGAGCGCTTAACGATAGCTGCGGTCCATGAAACCAAGCTAAACAGCCGCTCAAATCTTCTGAGTTGTGCAGGTTTCAACGTTTTGCGTAAGGATCGCGAGCGAGATAATGGTGGAGGCCTAGCCTTCATATTGCAAAACACCGTGCAATATCGTCTAATCGATGTTGACATCGACCGCAGGGACACTACCCTAGAATGTCAGGGTATAGCTGTCCGGTCAGGCGATGTCGAGCTCGAAATATTTAATATATACATCCCCCCAGTTACATGTTGCCCAACAGGATATCACCCGAACATAGATGCTAACTCTCGCATCAGACCATCTGCCCATAATTATCTCGATCGAGAAACCTCCCGACTTTATTTCTATGGACAATCGCACCTTCATTAACTTTAACAAAGCTAACTGGGTCGGATTCACAGAATTTACTGAGAGCACCTTCAACGCACTACCCATTCCTACGGATGTCATCGTTGGCGAGCGTCAATTCCGCAAGGTGATCGCTGCTGCTACCGCTCTCTTCATACCGGCTGGTAGAATCGCGGAACTCCGCCCAAATTTCCCAGCCGAAGCAGCTGTACTAGCAAACGAGCACGACACCTTACGCCATGCCGATCCCTGTGATCCCCGAATAAGGAATCTCCATTTGGAGATTCTGCAAATGGTAAACCAACATAAGCGGACAAAATGGGTGAAGCACCTGAAGTCCTGTAATCTCTAAACCGGTGTGAGTAAGCTTTGGAATACTGTCAAGGCCCTGACTAACCCGAGAAGACATGACGATCGGGTTGAAATTCAATTCGATGGCCATGCCTAATCGGACCCGAAAAAGTGCGCGAGCTATTTTAGCCGGCAGTTTACACTGCACCCTTCGACCGACAAGGCCAAACGATGTATTACCCGACGGCTACGCAAAATGCCAAAAGACGGCGCATCACTTACTTTCACCGATGGGGAGGTTCAGAGTATCATCAAAAAGGCGAAATCGTCTAAATCCATCGGCCCTGACGGAATAAGCATGCTGATGCTAAAACACCTAGGCCCAACGGGAGTAAACTATCTCACCAAGGTCCTTAACTTGTGGATGTCCACTCTGCAAATACCCGATGTGTGGAAAGTCGGAAGAGTGGTCCCACTACTGAAACCTGGGAAACCCGCCAACAAAAGGGAGTCTTATCGCCCGATAACTCTCTTTTCCCCAGTAGTGAAGACACTTGAGGCCTTGTTACTCCCGTCATTCACCCACCACCTGAGCCTAGCAGACCATCAGCATGGCTTCCGAAAAGTGCACAGCACCACCACAGCACTTAGCGTCATAAACGCAGATGGTTAATGACCTGAACCAGAAGCCACCCTGCGAGAGGACGATCCTCGTAGCGTTGGACTTGTCAAAAGCTTTTTACACAGTCAATCGCACAACGCTACTTGAGGACCTAGAACCATCAACGCTTCCTCCAGGGCTGAAGCGGTGGACTATGAACTACCTGAGCGGTCGGCATTCATCCGTACTGTTCCGAGGTCAAAACTCCAAACTTAGGAAAATTAAATAGGGGGTTCCGCAGGGCGGTGTCCTCTCCCCACTACTGCTTAATTTCTATATTTCGAAACTCCCCCAGCCACCAGCGGGAATTTCAATGACCACGTACGCTGATGACTGTACGATATTGACGTCGGGCAATGGAATCGATGGCATGTGTTCAAAAGTAAACAGGTACCTCTCCGATCTTTCTCGCTTCTTCTCTGCAAGGAGCCTAATACGCTCCCCCACTAAATCCACAGCGACCATCTTCACAAATTGGACGAAGGAGTACAGACTCGAAGGAGTACAATATGGTCGCCTGGATGTAGTGACACGCAGAAGAAGAAGCTTCAGACCTGTCAGAACACTGCACTCCGGACTATTACGGGATGCATTTTGATGTCTCCAATCGAACACCTACATAGTGAGGCCGTTATTCTTCCGGTTAAGGAATACAACGAACTCCTCTCCAAGCAGTTTCTGCTGGGGTGTTTTCGTAGAAACCACCCCTGTAGTCGCCTGCTTGTAGCGGAGCGGCCTCCTAGGAACATCAAGAGGTCTTTCCTTGATTACGTCGACGACATTAGGCAGTACGCCGATCGGACTTCGGACGCAACGAACTTCAGACAGGCACTGACACAGTGGAGCCATCAACACCTTCACCGACTCCCTCTCAGTGAATGGCGTATTACGAGTCAAACCACCACCCATAGCAGATGTAGAGCTCGAGTTGCCTCGCGAAACCAAAGTAACCCTTCATTCTGGATACTGTAGCAGGTTAAACTCCTACTTATCCAGAATAGACCCCGACATACCGAACACATGTCCTGCGTGCAATGAGTCTCCGCATGACACTAACCACCTCCTTGCATGCCCAACAAACCCCACTCATCTAACACCCTGCTCCCTATGGTCCGACCCCGTCGAAACAGCTCTTTTCCTGGGCCTCCCATTAGATGACCTCGACGACAAAGAATCTGGAATTTATCACCCAAACGGGGACTAGGTAACCGTTACAACAACAATATCACTGGATGCCTCTTGATATCTTCGGTCGCACACTTACACAGCGGGGCTCGTATGCTTCCGGCTAAGGAACACAAGGATCTCCTCTCAAAGCAGTTTTTACTGGAACGTTTTCGCAGAAACTACTCCTGCAGTCGTCTGCTTGAAGCAGAACCGCCTCCTAGGAACATCAAGAGGTCCTTCCATGGCTACGTCGACGACATTGAACAGTACACCGACCAGACTTCAGACGGAACAAATTTCAGATATGCACTGACAGCCATTCACAGTGGAACCATTAACACCTTCACCAATTCCCTCTCAGTGCATGGCGTTCGTGGACTAAAACCAACCCCCATTGCAGACGTAGTTCGAGTTGCCACGAGAATGTTGTAGCGGCTCAAAACATTCCTGTAGTAGTTTCGGGGAATGGTGCCGAGTTGACGGTCCTTGGCTGGATAAAATTCCGGATTCGCTTCGGTTACTTAAACCCGACTGTCGTGAAAATTAAAAGTGACCCTAATATTTTCGTTTTTCTCGACAATAGCGTTGCGACCCTGGGTGTGCGCGAGTGTTGTGGAAGAGGTTGTTGTCGCTGCTGGATTGCCCGCAGTTGCCTCACTACGTTATTTTGTGACGCCATCAAAGGTTGTTGCGGGGCAAATATAATACCTACAGTAAGGGGCAAGGGACATTATGCTCAAGTCATGTATTGTGTGCAAAAATTACACCTGGTTAAATGATTTTCCAACGTATTGCGGTGCGAGGAACCAAAACGATGTCTGAGGACCATTAAAATCCATTGTTAGCAGAATGTATGTGTGTTTTAACGGACTCCATCCATTGTTTGTGTTACGTATAAGCGAGGTAGGGTTTGGAAAACCATTTGACGCAAAACGCTGTTGAATTCCTAACTTGCTACTTACCGATATCAACTGAGGTTAGATCGACGAAAGAGCACCCTTAGCCGCATTTAGGTAATTCCGATAATGCAGGAAAAGCGCTGTCGTAATGCATTAAGTTCTTTAAATTATAACCACTCCTCTTGTATATCGTTGAATAAAACGTTTTAATTTTTTTTAACGCCCACAACTTTTCAATATCGTTGTGGTTCACGCTCTAAACAGGCGTGCCAATCAATTTACTGTTATTGTGTAATACCCATCTTGGCCAAAAAAAAGTTTTGTTTTGAATCATTGTCCGTCATCAGATTGAAAACGACAACGGTTTGAAGAGACACAGTCCAAAAGCATAACAAAATACGTTGGTAACTGTAGTTTCTAAAGGTACTAGAGTTAATTAAGATTAGATTTTAATTTTTTAATGCATTTATTGAATGGTTATTAGGTATTTTTTATAATGTTACTCCGAGCTAACAAAATGGTCTGCATCAAAACTGGAATATATATGACCTTCTGATATCAAAAACTCTATAAGGGCGCTGAAAAATATATGATATAATATCAATGTTTACTTTTGAGAGAAAACTTACTTCAATTCATTTCCATTGATGTGATTGAATTTCTGTTGCAATTCTTTGCGGCTGATACCTTCCGTACTTATATTGCTTTTAACAGCTTGTAACACTGCCAACTGCTTTCCTTCCAAACCTAGAGAATCATCTAAACCAGTCTTGGAATTAAAGTCTATTGAACCGACATTTGTCGCGTACACGTGGCTTCCCTTACTAACAAATTCTTCAGATTTATACCTCGCATTAAGCACTTCCAATACATGCGTACAAACTTCGTTAGAATTCATTATTGCAATCATTTTAAAAACCATTAACATTTTCTGGGAGCCTTGTGTCCTAACACTACCAAATAGCTTGACATAATGATTAAGCATAATGTCAGGAGCCTTCGTTGAATCACCTTCTTCTAGCCAGTAATGTGCTTCTATCTGACCTGAATGATCCTCCAAGGAATATGTAATTTTTGTAGAAGACACATCAATAGAACGAACTAGGCATACACATGATACCATTCCAAATGTTATTCCATACAAGCTAAAATTCCCTTCAGGCGAATATAAGATTTGTTTAATAAAAACCGGAGCTATACCCTAAAATACATATAAACAAATAAACGTTATAACCAATTATTTATATACTTTCTATATTACTTCAGCCGCAGCGCCACCACCGTATGCACCATTTAGCGTTGTTAATGAACTAACTGAATTATAAAAACAGCAACATATATAAAATATATTCATTAAAATACAAATAGGACATACCGGATATATCCATATTATTATTAGTAAATCTGTGGGAATTGTTTATATAGGCTCAACTTTTTTAAAATTTAGAGTTATTGCTGAAATATTACTCAGCGGCTCCACAGCCAATAAAAACACTACAAACTAGATCCCTGTTTAACGGTATGGCCACACATGCCAGTAAAAAGTTCGATTATCGAATATATTCGAACATACAATTTAACTAATTAACATTTTTTATTTTTCTTCATGAATGGGTATTTATCCCGGTAAATGTATAGTTTAGGTCCCCCACATAAGGAGGCCTCAAAAATGAATTTTTTTTTAAATCGTCTTATTTTTAACTTAGATTACAAATCCGTGAGTGGAAAGTGAATTTTTTCAATAATTTATGTATATTTTTCAATATTTATTTACACACTTTGCACATATCACATATTCAAGTCACTTAGTTATTGTTGTTGTAGCCGCAAAATTCTGTAGAGTTCAGAGCACTTAGCCGTAATTACCAGTTCAGTGTGTTAAACATATTCTTATGAAAAAAATATACTGAAGAAATGTAAGAGTCAAATTTTCTTTTGTGCCGCGATTTGATGGTATGAACGAATATCGGAGATCGTCGAACTTCTTTCCGCACTGGCGGCCTTCGGCCGCGCTTCAAAAAAATAACCCTGGTCAGTCAAAACCGGGGTGCTCATAATTCAATCGCGTCAAACTCCTTTCTGCACTGGCGGCCTTTGGCCGCGCTTCAAAAATATAACCCTGGTCGGTCCAAAATCGGGGTGTTCATAATTCAATCGCGTCAAACTCCTTTCTGCACAAACAGCAGCGAAAAGGATTTTGACGCGATTGAATTATGAACATCCCGATTATGGACCGACCAGGGTTATTTCTTTGAAGCGCGGCCGAAGGCCGCCAGTGCAAAAAGGAGTTTGACGCGATTGAAAAAAATAGAAATATTGAAAAAATTCACTTTCCGCTCACGGATTTGTAATCTACGCGTAAAAATAAGATAAGACCTATGGTTTTCAAGATATTTGGGTTTAAAGTTCAAAATTTCGACTATTTAAAGTACGTATTTTTTCATTATAGAATGAATTATACACTTATATTTTTAACTTTTATATCCACTAACACTTCACTAATTCGTTTTTACACATTTTTTATATTATATCATAAAAAATAGCTTTATTTTAATATTTTAATTATTCTTCAATTTTTGTGATTTTCACAATAACAAGATGGTTGTAAATGTCAAATAACCAGTGTTGCCATACTAATTTATTTTGCAAACGAAGAAAAATAAAATAAAAAGAGAGATTATACCCTAAATACAGGAATCATAATCGTTGATGGACACTAATAAATCTTTTAGTTTCCTTCTTTTGATAAACCCAGGTGTTGGACCGACCAGAGTTATTTTTTTTGCCGCCAACGCAAAAGAAATTTCTGCGCGAAAAAACTTGTGTACACCCCGGTGTTGGATCGACCAGGGTTATTGTTTTTGAAGCGCGGCCGAAGGCCGCCAACGCAAAAGAAATTTCTGCGCGAAAAGACCTTGGTACACCCTGGTGTTGGATCGACCAGGGTGATTTTTTTGGAAGCGCGGCCGAAAGCCGCCAACGCAAAAAGGAGTTCTACGCGAAAAAGTAATATTGTCATAGAGGGTATAACATAATCCTTAACATCAATGCTCTCTAACGGATATTAATACTGTTACTTTTGAAGAAAAGTACCGTTTCGTTTTTTCCATTTGCTATTTACTTCATATTTGGCAAATAAAATTCAAACGCGTTTAGTGAGTTGTGCTTAAATTGTGGAAAAGGATAAATTATAAAAGTTATTATTCAAGTTTTTTATTTTAAAAATGAGTGGAATTTCAACATATTTTAATTGGGGTATAATCTGTTTTCATTTCTTTCAGTTCACTTACAAAAGATGTCGATAAGGTAACACTGTAACACTTTAAACCCAAATATCTTGAAAACCATAGGTTTCCCGCGGCTATATCTATATTCTTGATCTGAAGGATCTCCTTTATCCGCCCATACCCATTTTATCCCCGAAAGCGTGGGACGTTATACTAAAGTTTTCCCTTAGTTTTAATTAAAAGTGTATAAAAACACATTATTAAAGGTTACAAGCAAAAATTAAACAAACTCGTTACGTTATAAATAAAAGTAAACAGTGTGTGCAGTTTTGATACATTCCTTATAAATTTCGTATAAAAATATTCTGCATTGATTCATCTAATGGTGCATAAAATGCGCCTCAGGATGTAAAATTTTATTTATGTATACATATTCACAACTCTGTCATGTTAAAAAGTGCTGAAGCGCTGTCCTGTTGGCTTTGGCAGTTCAAACGGAATTATGTAAAGAAATTTTAGTCAATCTAGTTCAACAATTCTGAATTGAATAACAATAATACGACATAAATTTCTTGATTTTATGATATAATGTTTAAACCTTTTTCTGAATTTAAGTACATAATAAGTAAGACAATAAAAATAACTCCTCCTTCTGTGACTCTAGCTTCGGCTTTGTTTTGTGGGGGTTTTCCTTACTGTAAATATATTCATACATACATACAAAAATTATATATTGGACATCTAATATTATATATGGAGAAATATATATATAATAAATATATACATACATCTTATAATTGGAGAAACTATTTAATTCTTTTTTTATGATTTTATGGTATATTAACTTTGACTTAACTCTGACTTTTGAACTTTCAATACTTAATAAAGTGATTTAAACCTGTTAGCTCTCAATTATTAAATGTTTTTAATCATTTTCAATTGAAGATTAATGCTATGATGTATCATATTGCAGAATATTTCATCAAATACATTTAAATTTCGCACTTTCTTTAATTTTCATTGTTCGAAATTTTTTATTAATGATCTTGAACGGCGGCAACAAATCCCTCCGTTCACATATATTTCTGGTAGAATTTCAATCTGGGCGTTCCAATTGCGAAACGTCACAACCTAGCCGCTATAGTCAACTTTCAAAGACGGGTAGGTGAGCTGTTCTCTCATTTCCAATGAGAGTAGAGTTGGCAAGGATGAAATGATGCGAGACTCTTTCACTCGAGAGAGAGCTGTCAAAACCCACATTTTTTATAACATTTGCCAATCATGCCACTGTCGAAAGAAAATGGATTGGGTATTATAAAAAAAACTTTTGGGTATTTTGTATTTTGATATTATTTTTAGGTGCTCCGTCCCTGAGTAGGCCTATATAACGCATATACATCAATATATACGTGTATTTATATTATAAAATTTTTAAAAAATCATATAACATAAAAAAAATTGCATATAAATAAAAAAAAATTATTACAAAGAAACAAAACAAGTCATAATAAAAGATCATGGTTTTATAATGAACATTTTAAATTATATTAACAAATAAAATTTAGTTGCACGTTATTCAAATGTATTTGTGTCGTTCCTTGAAATTTCGTTTCGCACTGCTTTTGTTAGCTATTTTTAGCGGGTTTATTTCTGGCATCCCGCCTTTTTTGACATCAGCTGTTCGAAATTCCCTGATTTTAATAATCAGGGAAAAAGAATAACAGAAAAATCAGCGCAAACTAGAGAGTCTCGCATCATGTCATCCTTGGAGTTGGGCACAGAGATAAAGAGATGCCCAACTCGTCTCGCACTGGAAATGAGAGCGCAATTGCTAAACGTCAAAACCTCCTGAACTCAAGCAACTGTCAAAGTTCAGGAGGTCTGACGTTGAGCAATTGGAAAAAGAGGGACGGCCAAACTGAAATCTTACAGAAAAATATGTCAACAGAGAGATTTCTTGCCGCTGTTAAAGATCACTAACAAAAATTGGAAAACAATGAAAATGAAAGAAAACGCGAAATGTATGTGATGAAATCTTTTGTGATGCTTAACAGTATTGATTTTCAATTAAAAATTATAAAAAACATTTATTCATTGAGAGCTATCACATTTATTCTTTTGATTAAATATTGAAAGTTTAAAAATCAAAAGTTTTAATATATGACAAAATCACAAAACAGTGTTTAAATAGTTTCTGCATATGTTTAACGGATACATGTATATTAATATTTAATCTAAATAAATGTTAGGTATTTTAATATAAATGCCCTAAAGTTATTATTTTGACTGATCTGGCTACAATGCAAAATGTTATAAAAAACGCTAATTTTGAGCATTGTATAAATCTACAAGTAGCCAATCCTAAGATTTTCACTAATACACACGCAAAAATATCCCACTTGGTACGGGTTGCCTCGAAAATTCTACTACTAAAATCACACTTGGTACGGGTTGCCAACCAATATTCTGCTACTAAAAGCACACTTTGTACGGGTTGCCAACCAATATTCTACTACTAAAACGTTCAAATGACAGAAATCTGCTCTAGTGTGTTGCCGTGTTATGTTTTAAAATTAATAACTTTAAGAATGTTTTTATTCCATATTCAAATATTTTTCGGTTGTCTTAATTCCTAAAGATTAAATTTACATAGTATTATTTAAATTATTATTTATTGTATTGAAATATAATTAAATGTTTCCAATTTTATCTTTTTTAACTTACATGTTTATGTTTTTGTGAGTAAAAATTCTTTGTCTGTCGAATATTTAAATTCTTAGTTTACCGGTTTAGTCCTGGGGAAACAAACACCCAAAAAAGGTCTGTAACGCGCCTATATTGCAACCTCAGAGGTGGTGAGGAAAAGCAATGGGAATACTTTAGTTTAGCATCCCACGATTTCATGGTTAAGAGGGGTATGGTTGGATAGAGGAGATTCTCCAGATCACGAATATATACAATTATTGGCGCCGGAAACGTACAGTTTTCCAGATATTTCCATTTTAAGTGCAAATTGTTACACTACAACCTCTTATTTAAAACTCTGTGTCAAAAAAAGGCATATTCGATCAGGTGATCACGGCTGTTTCACACACATAGGAGATTCTTTGGCTACTTGTAGGCTTATACAATGATTTTGAGGCACTCTCACACTGGAAAGAGTTGGGCATCCCATTATCCCTGGTTCGGCATCTCTTTATCTCTGATACTCGCTCTTAATTACTACAACGACGAGGAACGACTGTTACTATGTAGATTTCATAGTCGTTTCAAAATGGGGAATACCAAATTATTTTCGATAATTGTTGATAACGCCAACAGGAATGCCACATAGCCATTCTTATTTCGTTTTAAAACGAAAATGACAACGGGAATAGGGCTGAATATTATTATTTTTATATTATATATTTATATTTACGTTTGAATACGCGCCTGGTGTGTATTTGACTTGACATTTGCTGGCACCATGTGTCAAAAGTTTACTGTCATTGAAATTTCTTTGCCAGGGCTCTTGCCAGTTCGAAAAATATGATGTGTTAGTAAAAAAATGTGTATGGATTGAGTTTTTCGAACAGCGTACATTTTTCTGTCAAAACGAATATCTGACGCAAAGCGAAGCAAAAGTTCTATGTGAATTGAGCATAATTCACACAGAAATTTTGCTTCGACGTTCAAATAAAAAGTTTTTGACGCGAAGCCAAGCAAAATGTTGTGCAACTCTCATAATCTTTTGCTTCGCCAAGCAGCAGTCGCCATTTTCATTAAAGAAAAACACTGAAAGTAAAGCGTTCATTTATACTACTTCTCCCGAGAAATCATTTTTGAATCGCACATGCACATGAACGTATGGTCACGAAAGAAAACTTGCATGACAGTTCGAATATTTTCGGTAAAAATACGTATTTATTATTGACACCGAGCTACTGGCATGTGTGGCCGACGCAGAAGCC